TTGAAAATGCAGAAGACAGCTAGTTGTAGTTGATGAGAAGTAGTTGAACATGTAAATTCCATCACAAGATGAAATGGACGAGAGCCAGTTGAACAAGGCAACTATATCATAAGCTGAAGATGTAGTCGTTAAAAGCGGAAATTTCATCCATCACAAGTTGAAGATGCTGATGAGGGCTCGTTAAACATGGCAGTTTCATCTCACGTTGAAGAGGCAGAAGAGATAGCACGAGCCAGATCAAGAATGTTTAACTGCAAAAAGTGATCGGTCGGCATTGAGGTGTTAATTGGAAGGAAAGTCAATGTCTGATAACCGGATCAAGGTCAAGCGGCATCCGGTTATCACTTTCAAACCGCCTCTGTAAACCGCTACACGTCGCTTCTGGCGGTGCCTGATGTGGCCAAGCCGAAGACTTGAACGCTTCAACTGCGCTTTCGACTATAAGCGTCTTGTTGAAGCTCTGCATAATTTTCCTTTGTACCAAAACTGATGGATTAGGTGGTAAACAAGAAAATGTGTTCTTTTGTCAAGAACGTAAACGTCATGTGTTGGGTAGCAGAGTGGCTGTAGTTCGCCAAGTAATCAGGCCACTGGATCGATCCTGAGTGGACTCAGCTCTCTTCATGATCATTGGGCTTTTAATAAGGATCCTGGGTGAGGAAACAAAGACTTTCCAGTAGGGAAGATATAGAACGAATCTTATTCAGTTATACACTCATCCTTCAGTAATATTCAGGCAAAATACGCAGCATTGTCTCCCACTCTCAATGATGATGATGATGTTGATGAAATTTGGTGAGCTCATGAATATCTTGCTAACCTTGACTTGATCTGTTGAAAGCCTAGTTCGCAATCGATTGTGGTTAATTTCCGAGACGCCGTTTGCGATTTAACGCCTTTAAATTATACGTCATACGCGTTTCTTTTTCACGAGATTATTCATTCAGTTTACCTGTTCCCTTATTTCTTCCATCAAAATATCTTAGACCCATGAGTTATCTAGCATGGTAAGAAATTTGTCAATAAAAATATTACCTATAATTTCAACTCCATACATAAACGAAACCCATAGCTACAGTTTAAGCCTAGTCCTACTGGTTTTCGTGACTGAGACACATTTTGCTCAAAATTCCCAGAAAATAGCTCTGAGATGAGAAGTGACGGAGTAGTGATCACATGTTTACTTTGTCATATTTTGTACCTGAAATTCAAAACTGAAATCTTAAACAAAAAGAGTAAATTGTACATTCAACATTACCAGGTATTCATTGAACAATTGAACATATGAGACCACTGGTCTGGAAGCCCATTTACCAATTCCCAAATCAGAGCCCATTCATGACTCATTAGCCAGACTAATTAGAGTGTCTCACACGGCTTCAACACATTAACACGACACAATGTGAAGGTGAACGAGTGTTTTTGTCTCAAACTTCATAACTAAGTCCAATTGAACGTGCTAATCCTCCAGTTTGAAGAACATTTGAATCGCTGATTGGCTAATAGTGAAACCCGGTCAACTTTCCGTCACGTGTTTACCAGTGGCTGTTTAAAACGTTTCGTCATTTCCCGGTAACTCGAGCCAAACTCAGGTATGTCCGCAGTCATGTGAAGCCCCAGGAAAATTGTCCTGGAATGCTCGGAGTACATTTTGCAATTAGTCTGATGATGGATTCAATGAAAGGAATGTCTTCGAGGTCGGAACTAGATTCGGATTTTCTTGGTGACCTCATCATTGGTGTTTTTATAAATGGCCCCAGATAAATAATGGTATTTGGTAAAATCAAAAGTATACATGCATCATTCCCAAATATCACATTAGTAAAAAATAGACAAGCTACATATCTATTGTTGGATCGCGATGGGAAAATACATCAAATCAATACTTTCACCCAAGAGACATATTCTGCTTGCAGATTAAACATTTGCAACTGCAACCAAAGATTCTCAGTTAACAGAACGTTATATTGTTGTCAACTCTACATCTTGAAGGGTTCAATCCACGGCATTCTCCCCTCCCAAAAACTAAGGGGGTTTTGCCTTTTGGACTCCTTTTAAAATGTTTGTGTTTTTTTATTGAAAATGTCATTGGAATTCACTAAGAGACGTTGATGACTGAAGAAATATGAACCGAAGACTTCAGGACTAAGTAACTTTCCATAACTGTTTCGCCTATGTGTATCAAATAGAATATGAATTCATAGACTAACAATACACGTTTTAAATCAGAACACAAAATAAATCGCCAACGTTTTAATGTATTTCACTAATTATTTGGTGAACAATTGTTGATAGGGTTGGAAACTAATGCCAAATTGGAATGTCAAAATTTGGTAGACTGACGACCTCCGCAGTTATATTCGGCCTTGGTCGTTGGCTCCGGTTGTTACATTACATAACTACAATCAACATTCCAACCCAAATGTTTTGTTCGTATTTGTAACTCCTGTTTACCTATATAGAGGAACCCATTATATTGGGCTAGTAATTGCGTCTTCCAGCAATGTAGCATTGTTTGTTATTCTAGGTTGCATTTTAATTTGGAACCTGAAACTATTTTTATATGCTTCTCAGTTGTAAGAAGTACATAAATATCACTGGAACAGCTCTTATTTCAATACAAAATACCATTTATAATCTAATATTTTAAAATTCTAAGATTTGAACCAAAGCTGCTAGAAGTGGGGTGTTTTGAAACAGAAGTTTTTGTTGTCGGATGGTCAATGTAAGGGGGTTTTGTCACTTTGTAGAAAATCCTTGAAGAAAATTTCTAGTGGACAGCAATAAACTCCCTTAAACAAACTGTTTAAGATATGAGGTTCAACATAAAAATGCATCATAAAGTAAACCGACAACAAACTCATAGTCAGTCGACGACTAACCCCCAGGAACGACGTTGACGTCTACAGGTAGCTGAGCTACCAGGGCTTGGACCCACAGCAGACCAGAAGTATATGCTCATAGTGAGCAGGAGCTTCACCAGACGTGGCGCTAGTCGCCACAGTCATATAGACTTGGATCCATCTTTTAAGAAACATCGTTATTCCCCACGGACATTCAAAATAGTGGATGTGTAAAATACAAATTTCAATATAAACTCGCTCTTGTCAAGTTCTCCTCCTGCCCAGCATACTGCAACCTCACCTCTTAAAAGTTTACATGTCTCGAGCAGAGGGGCGTCGACCTATTCTCATCAGGGGTCACTTGCAATTCCTGTCAATGCGATGAGGTCTCCGAAGGTAGTTATGTGTGTGGCTAAACCATTGACCATAGTTAACCTTGAAACCACTACTCAGAAGTGGTTTGAAAATTACAAAATTCAAAAAATGGCAATTCCAAAATGATCTGGTAATTAGAAAATATAGCTTTAGAACTACGGCAGTACACTAAAGTGATTTAGGTGCTATTGCTTTTTGAATTAAAGAACCATGAGTCAACCAGGCTTTATCTTTATGAAATGTGTAGTTTGATAACCAGTCCGCGTAGTTTGCTCATAACATTGTTATGTTATCGTGTACTGGAATTCTATGACACACCCAAACGTACCGGTTACATCATAGAGAATATTTAGAGGAAATGTCAACAAGGAAACAAATCACTGAAAATCATTAGACAGAAATGAATCTGAAATGTATCTTACTTGGTAAAAGTCTTGTCTATATTCACTTGGTGCAATTTATATTGGAGCCATTGACAAATTATTTTGTAAATCAAGCATGTTCTTGTCGTGAAAATACAAGACTATTTTGTCATTTTGTTGTTAGTCACGTCACATGTCCTCTATCAAAGCAATTATTGCTAATTAATTGCGTGAAAGTAATCACGAATGAATTTTCTCTACAGAAAAACTCGCATCAACCTAGAAACTCAAAATGTCCGTTCTTTCACTTGACATTGCCAGAGGTGCTAGAAACCCGAACCAGTCGCACATGCTCTACATCAACATGTGAGAAAGTTACTCGTCATTTGACAAGAAAATGTGGCCCATTAGGTTAACCAGAGTCCGTTAACTCTTGGCCATTTAATGTAATGAAGTCCATCTGGGAATCCGAGCGAGATCATAAAGTGCAGCCACTTCATGTGTTATTCCACTCGGTAGCTTTCATTGCGGGGAATTACACTGCTACCAACTTAAATCATCTTGTTCCACTCTAGCGTGTTGATTACAAGGTAGATCGTGTAGGTTATGGTCGAAGAAGATCGCTGTAACAGCCTGTTTTGCTTTTCACGCCTATCTGCACCAATAAGATTCTGTGGGAATTTGTCGTTGCGGATATAAAAAGGGTTTAACATGTTATCGTAATCGTTACTATCTATGTCATAACTTTCGATACATCAAAACCATCCAGATGTATATTTAGGCTAAACATGAATGCATGGTGGGTGTAAGAGAGTGACCTGTGCATTGTTGACTAAGATCAGCTGTTTAGCTATGACTATTATTAAGATCTAATGACCCAGGACAGCTATAAACTAAAAGGAATATGCCTACTACAACAATACAAATATATTATTCAGAGACGAATGTTCTGATCGGTTCCATAATTATGGTTGACGTTCCCCGTCATATTTTGGTAAATTTTGGGATTTTACCGAGCAGTTTCTTTTCTTTTGGCACTTCAAAACCATTAATGCACATTTAATTTAAGTTTTGGAGTGAACTTCACTAATCTGAGGTACAGACAGCACTGTCATAGCTACGAAAGCCTTCGCCCCTTGATTTGCACCGCACTTAAAAATCTTCGGAGTGCCCCAAGGCTCATACTCAGGTCCAATTCTTTTTCCGTTTCCAAAAAGAAGAATCACATGTAATGGTTACTGGACTGAAATGGCTTTATTAGCGTTAAATCACGAGTTCGTTTTATTTCTTCGCGTGACCCCCTGGGAGTGATATTAATTTAGCCTGGATTGTGCTCGGTTCGTTTCTGTCCAGTGACTTTTCCTAATAAATTAGGAACGAGAATAAACAGTGAAAGTATTAACGACTTTTTCTTTTTCAGGTGGGAGTGTAGGATTTAAAAGAACTCATACTTCTTAGCTTAAGGTATGTTGTATAATATACTTGTAAAATTGATCCTTTTACTAATCTCTATGTTGTGAGAGTAGAAACTTATCTACTAGTCATAATAATATGAATATGACGATTTGTAGACCTCTTTTTATAAAATAAATAAGTAGATAATTGTATCGTAAGTACCAAGAGGCCATAAAAGGATAAAATCAGAAGTTCGGTCCAATGTATCAATAAATTCATCAATAACTGTTTGCTATCAAGATATTTTATTTCCGTGAGCACTTGTATAGTACGAACGGCTCACCAATGGACCTAATTTTCCATTTAGTCGTTTATAAAAATGCACCGTTATAAACAATGGGAGGGGGTTTTATTTCGTTATCAAGAAAATCTACTCTTTATGAACTCTTGTTATGAAAAAGCTTATGTCAATCAACTCTCGTTATCAAGGAATATTTCTGTCCGTGGAATCTTTTTAGCTTTCAAATCTTCTATCTCTAAAATCTTGTTATAAAAAAAACTTCGGATACTTGTCCCAAAGGGAAGATTTTATGAGTCTACACTGTACCAAGGAGCTGGTAAAAATTATCTCAATAGTGAGGTTGTTGGATTTACTGTAAAAATCTAAAAACAAGTCTGTTTTTAGAAGTGAAACATGGCAATTACAAAGTAGATTTTCGCAATCATTGCCAGAACAGAGAACGATATGTAGACCAATCAAAGCTACCCTCCAATCTAAACCTCGTGATACGCTGTAATGAGCCACTGGGAAAGTGACCGGGTGAAGGTAGCGGGTTCGAACCTGGCGCTCCATTTCTGGTAGTATTGAGCGAAAGTATGGAATACAACCTCGATATTACTTTCTAATGTAGCAATTTACGTAAGTTTTGCCTATAATTGCAGAAATATTTAATTATTTTACATTTTTCGTGTTATGGATGTTGTGCCACGGTCCCATATTATACGTAGTGACTTGACAGTTCACTGAAGCGTATTGCGTCCTTGTAGTAATCGTTCCAGTGAACGATGGTACAGGAATTTGTGTCGCGGAGCAGAAAAACACAACTTGACACTTCACGCTCCTTTTACCTCTGAGCACTCATCGTTACCCTTCTAACAATTTACTCGGGTTTTGTGTAATTTACTGATCATTCAGAAACCCTCAACATTTAACCCAAATTTTTTACGGGTTTCCTTAGTGTTTTTAGTGTATTAGCAAGCAACATTTCGTGATTATCTGTTTTAAAAATTGAACCACACAACCGTATTTGATACTTAATTGTTTATATTTTTGTAGCATTTAATTACCTAAGGTATATTCTGACAATTTGAACAGTACTTACAAAAAAATCTTAACTCGTGGCTAAAAGTAGCTCAACCAAACGCAAACTACTCTTAATCAGTTCCAAATTTTGGCCGGGTGTAAAATACCCAGAGAGCAAAGAAAAATACCCACAATTCTTTTCGACCGATGACGTCATAGCTAAGTTAATTATCCTGAGCCGCTGAGCCCGAGGTGATCTTTTACAATGGGCGGCTCTTTTATGTTTATAACCGTCCGAAGGTCCTTTTCAGGATTAGTTATTTAATGGGCTTTGACGGTTTTTTACTATTTTGCTCTTTATTTTGCTTACTCAAAGATATATAGCTCGAGGCTCGTGGTTGGGTTTCGTTCCCTTGGGAATTATTGTGTGTGTGGGGGGGGGGATTTGGGGTAACAATATCTTGTATTTGTAACTTCCATTTGATCTACTATCTACATGGTTCACAAACCAGTTTATTGGCAATTTAAAATTAAAATACGAAAACCACTTCATTTTCTAGTAAATTCAGTCGCATGACTTTTTTTATAAATACAAGACACTACTTTGTCTACATGAAATTTGGTGGACATGACAGTTGAAATAATATATTAACGTCAGCTGATGCCTATAGTTAAGTAAAAGTGTGTTCTAGTCTAGACATTTTTAATGTGAGCTGTAATGAATTTTTTTTCGTTTCCTTAATGTGTATCTAACTATTTAAGCCTTCTATACCATTAACATGATTGTTGACCAAGATCTAAGTTTAGATCAAACTGGTAAAACTGTATTTCCATGCTTCCAGTTAGTAATCAATTTTGATCAATGCGCTAGGGTTTGATTTCAGTTATGGTTTGTCGTAGTCTTTGTGTAGATTGTTGTAAGAGGTTCGGACTAACTACAGTATGTCCGGTGATTAGACAGAACAAGCTGCCCAAAAAGCAAAGTGATCAAGGTGTATTGTTGCTCTGCTTATTTGGTCCATTCGTGACTTACGGATCAAGAAGGTTGTGGCAATGTACTGAAAGCGGTTTAGGGTCAGGGATACCAATGCTACTAGACAACACATCAATTAACGAGGTGAATTATTGCTTTAGGCCTACTGAAGTTACTTATTAATGCGTTTGAAGGCTAGTATGTTAGGAAGGCGATAAATAGTAGTTGAAAAGTGTAGAACAGTTGGTCACTTAAGCTGCTTAGTGTTTACTTAATTATGATTATTTGTGCACAATATTTTTCTATACTACCTACAGTAGGTACTTCAATGCTTGTATCTACTTTGATGTACACCAAACTGTTTAAAAAATGTTTGTGTAGATGTTTTGCCCTTTTTTCAGAAACATGTAAATCAACCTTCTGTTTTTACAACGGTTTCTTGATAATTTGTAAGATGTGTTAGTTTATAATAAAATTCGCAAGTACATATATTATCAAACAAGTTTCAATAGTAAAAGCATGCTAAGAATGAAAAATATAAAATTCCATGTTGATGGCCCCTGGATTATTATGAATGACTATAATATTGTGGTATAATTACCTCGTCAAGTAATCCAAATGTTTTGATGTTAGGTTAAAAACCTACATGTTTCACCGTTAATACAGCATCGTCAGGGTACAAACACATAAAAGACATTAGTGTCACACGCACACTATAAATAAATAACACGAAACGAAAAATATAATTTTTCATAATTTTTGGACGAGATTCCGAGCAATTGTAAATCGGTTATCGTTCAACATTCTGTCTAACCGTTTAGTAGGGCTTTATTTTTGTAGAGTACAGATTATTTTATGAGACCTCGTATTCAAACCTAAGTCGGCTTGAATATTAGAAATTTAAGTTTGGTATGAGTTGAAGAGCCAAACCCAGAGCTGGGTCTTCTAAATGGTGGAGGTTGAGGATGATCGTGACACTTTCACTAACACTTTGGCTTCAGCCTCAACGTGTAATGGTAATGAGGTTACACTTGAACACCTTCACTACTTCAGCACTCACACTACTTCACTATCAATACGGTACGTACACGACTTCACTACCAACAATTATACTACTTTATAATACTACTTCACTATAAATACGTCCACAACTTCACTAACAACAATTATATTACTTTAGAATACTACTTTCCTATCAATACGTCCACTACTTCACTACCAACAATTATACTACTTTATAATACTACTTCACTATAAATACGTCCACAACCTCGCCATCAACAAGATACTACTTTAGAATACTAATTTACTGTCAATACGTCCACTACTTCACTACCAACAATTATACTACTTTATAACACTACTTCACTATAAATACGTCCACAACCTCGCCATCAACAAGTATACTACTTTAGAATACTACTTTCCTGTCAATACGTCCACTACTTCACTACCAACAATTATACTACTTTATAATACTATTTCACTATAAATACGTCCACAACTTCGCCATCAACAATTATACTACTTTATAATACTACTTCGCTATAAATACGTCCACAACTTCGCCATCAACAATTATATTACTTTAGAATACTACTTTCCTGTCAATACGTCCACTACTCCACTACCAACAATTATACTACTTTAGAATACTACTTTCCTATCAATACTTCCACTACTTAACTGTTTCGATATGTCTCGAATTACTTCTCTACTTCTCTACTTCACTGCCTCACTACTTTAGTACCTAATTACTTGCATACACTAAAAAATTAGATTCCTGCTTTTGAAAGTCAAGCAAGGGCGGTGGATAAAAAGCTTTTGAATAAACGTTTTCGTAATTTTACAGTTTTAAAAGTTGGTGCCAAGTCTAGTTCATAAACTTTATGTTGATAGGTTAGGCCTACTTCCTCTGTTCTTGTTGATTATGTTTGTGGGGTTTTGCACCAATACTTACAACTCTAATAAAATGTATTCTACAGCTGTGAACTTTAGTTTAAAGAGTTTATTACGCAAGTAGGTAGATATTTGATGTCTGCCAAACTATTTAACCCGCCAGACTCTTCAGACGAGCAGCAGTGGTCATTAGATGACTGCAGTGCTGCAGTAATGAATGTCTGCAGTGCAGTCTTCTGCAGTAATGAATGACTCGGATAGTGACCAGTGATTATCTCTTAGACAAGAACAAGGAACAAAGTGACATAATGTCATGTCGAAGACTTTCACAAGTTACACAAGGATTTGTAATTAGCCAGTCAAGTACTAAAGTATCTTTCATAGTTTGGCTGGTAAAATAGAATCATGTGGTTACTAAAACTGTATTGCTAACATAAATATGCATTCTTAGATCGATCTGCAAAGTAGGATCATTGTATTTATTTGAATCGTTAAAATATGTGTGCAGAATAGGTGTGAATGGTGTCTTTAAACATTCGTTGACATACAAAATTGGGAAATAAGCAGTAATAACATGAAAACTAATAGATATAAATACATTTAATCATAAAACGTCAACATTTGAGAATAGTATCGTGTTGTAGATGCAATTCATAAAGTTCCATGAATGAATGCAAAATACTTGTTTATTTGAGGTTGACGTCTTAGTTTAGTAAAAGTGTGTTCTAGTCTAGACATTTTAAATGTGAGATATGATTTATTTTGTTTACCTAGCCTGTGTATCTAACTATTCAAGCCCTCTATACCATTCCTTTAAACTTCTAACTGGTCCAATCTAGTGCTGAATGTTTTTCATCTCAAAATATAGGAGTGTGTTACAAATTGACGTAACCA